GCCTCTAAAACTGGACCTTCTTCCTAACCCCGCTATGAATAACGTAGGCTATAGCTATTTGCGCAAATAGCCTGAGCAGCTGAAAGCACCATTCAAACAAATAAAACAAAACAACAAAAACTTTGCGCTGAAACGTGTTTCATGCTAATAAAGCATTGTTGGCCTGACCACGGAGGGAGGAAAGACATTTATTCAGCATCCAAACTGACAGGGCTAATCGCACACGTTAAACCGCAGCTACCTACCAATTGGGGACGGGGACCAGTCCACTTTGGCAGTAACTGCGCATCGCTGGTTCACGAATGACTTTGAAACGTTAGCGCTAGCGTTGCAGTGGCATCGCTACCAACAAACTGAACGCTCCCAACCATTATTTGTCCTCGGTTCAATCACAGAGTAACTTATCTTCTCACTAACTTTGCCGTCGCACCCCTCCCTTTGAAATTCAAAATGGTCTAGCGACGCCCGTGTTCACGTGTCTTTTGGCGATATATTTCGAACCATTGGTTTTCTCGATCAATTTTGCATGAACGAATAAAGCTTAGTTAGAATTTTCTGCTATGAGGAAGAAAAAGATTGAGTTGACGCGCCGCTTGTGTACGCACCTAGCAGAAATTTATCCACAATGCTCTGCGCGTCGTTAGCTGTGACCCCGTGTAGCGTAGTTCCTTCACTAAAATCTGTGCAAGGCCATCAGCCCTCCCCAATGACCTGTTCGGGCGCGCCGGGCGACGAGCGGATCCCAACCTGCAGCGCGGCTCTTTTCAACCAATGAGGGAATGCTTCTGCTCAAGGCGAATAGTCTTATAAAGTAGGCCTATGTAATGATGAAGTGACGCTTTGCAAGACCAGTTCTGACATGGTTGATTGAACTGCTTTGTGCTCAGTCATCTTTGACAGTAAATTGGGTTTCTTGGTGTAATAAGAAAGAGGACATCATTAGTCAATAAATGGTGGTTGTCAATTTCCAAGATATTTAGCCATGTCCTAGAAATGAAGAAATTAACGTCGGTTTCCCTTTTTTTACACACACTGTACAGCAGGAATAAAATCTGCCATACATAGTTGGTGTTGTGTCACTTCGAAAACAGGATGAAGGACGCTGGAATAATAACTCCGTCCGATGATCCCCTCTCATCTAAGCCTCCTACATGTCACCCGTGAAAAGCAGGCTACAATATAGGTGTCTCTGAGGGCTTCTAATTACATATCAACTAACTTCATAGTTTGTCTAGATGCATGTGTTTATGTGTCGGCCTTAGTATAAAAGTTAATTTTTCCACTGTTCCCCGCCATGACACACATAATGAAACCTTAATTTCACTTTCGCTTTGTGGGAAGGATGGCATTGAAAACCAGTGATGACGTTGATGTGATCATTATGATCATCTCAACTTCATTACAAATTATAAATTGTAACACTGAAATGGGGACATTTACACCATTTTTCTTGATGGGTCTAAACTTTCACCAGTCCGCCCCCCGCATCGTAATTTCTCCATAATGGAATCAGACAATGCTCATGATCTGTAACCAAAAGTAACAACATCATGTCAAAGATTTAATTTTGATCATTTCTACAGAGGACCGATTGTGTTTAATACTTTCCCTTTTTTTAATAAATCAAATATGCCTCTTTCCAATTTAATTGAATTTTAATTTGTTCGTTGTATCGTTTTTTAAACCAAACTGAGCACTGTCTATTTTCTTCCGTTTTCACCGTTTGGGGTACCATTCCACTTGTTCTGTCAGAGGTCAACGTAACCAATAATTTGGACGCGGCATTAATGTCTGATGAGGGCGCACTTGCATTAGTCTGGTGAATTCAATACCCTATTTTTTTTTCATATTAAACGAGCATACTCGGACTAGGTACATGACTGAAGTTACAATCGCCGCGAAAGTTGGGGATAAATGTAGTCCAGGTGGACTGCCTGATCGTTCTATGGGTAATGAAACGAAGACAATGTCCAACTTAGGCTAGTGATGAATGGTACTTGGTAGGCCTATTCTTCACGATGTTGGCGATGTACAACTTGCCTTCGCACGTTCACGATTCCTTTTCCAGGATTTCTGTTTGTTTTTATACCGAATGCAAAGTCATTCACTTTGGGAAGGAGTTACGGACCGGACGTTGACACCCTGTACACAAACGCTATGACTCTCTCAGTCTCTGGAAAATGAAGTCGGTGTCTTTCAATCGTGCTGCTGCGCTGGCGAGCTTGCTTGTCTCAACATGTTCGATACTTTGCCTGCTTGGCCTAAATCAGACTTGTCAGGACATAGGCCCTGTTAACTATAACATGATAAATGTATGGCCTTCTCAGGGCTGACACAAAACTGCAAGAGAGAATAGCCTAAGTGGGCCTAATGCCTGCATACATGTACATTGGTAGGAATCATAAACCCGGCATTATGTCCATATACGAACAACACTAATTTTCCCGTAAAATGTTACAGCAGCTGTCAGAAAGTGAGATGCATGTCCTAAAAACTGAAGTTTTGCTAATAAAATTCCAAAGGATTTGCTAAAAAAAACCTAGTTTTTTCAAACAAGTCTTATGGGTTTGTGAATGGGGGCATCAACTTAGGCATGTCAAGTGTTGTCTGTAGGTGGTATATGGAACTCTTTCCTTACTTTGTCAGTCTCGGTATTTAGTCATACTTGGGCCTATTTAAGTAGAAAATTTACTTTGATGTGAGTTTAAAAGGATATTTTAAAATTCCCATATTTCCGGGCAGTACAAGAGGACAAGTGTTGTTTGACGTGATTGGTCAATATGCACGATCACCTGATCTTTGTGTGAATCAGTTTATCTTAATGGGCAATTTGTCAATAATTCCACCAACAGCAATTTACGTTTTCTATCAAATTTACAGATGTCAAAATTGTTTCAACAAAGGGAAGTAAAGTTGGAGATCTTGTGCAGGATGGTTCAGTTAAAGGGTTTATTAAGAAATTGTCAGCATTCATGCGGCTGTATTGTAACTCATTCATTGACACCATTCATTGCTCTTATTAACATTTTGCCTCTTCCAATCTCATTTTAGGGCCTATATTTTCACACACCCAGGGGGTTAGGGTTTGTGATGCAACTTGTTTTATATTTATTCTGAAACTAGTATCGTGAATGGTGATCCCAGTCTTGAAAGAAAGCCCTACCCCTAGACCTGTTGGCTGCCCCATTCTACTTCTAGGAATGAGGAGCCCCACACATATAGTTCTTGGGATATGAATACTCATGAATGAAATGAAACAACATTTTATTTCTTATGTTTTTTACAGTAAAACTGTGTACATACATACATGTATTGATTGAAGATGGCGTCATCCTATGGGTCAGCATCAGGAATGGCAGGGTCCAACCAAATCTGCTTAAAAGATGCTGAAGCTGCCTTCAATAAGCTGAAAAATGCAAAGTCGTGAGTATAACCAGAGGAAAGAGGCTGCACCAAAGACACCAAGAAACATAATATTCCCAAAAAGTAAAAAAGGACAAACATGAAAAGTAATTTATGGTTTTTGTTGGGTATGTGCTGTCTGAAACTTACATGTACTTGTGACACCTTAGAATATGCATTTAGAATGCAATTTTGGAACCAAACAATTGCATTTTTCTCTTTTTTTATTTCATTGATTTTCCCCTTTGATTCTGATTTGGAAACTAAATGCAGTGGTGAACACTATTGTTAGGATGGTTCCAACTGCAGTCTTGTAGTTAGGAATTGTCGAAGTGTACATGTAGTTGGATTTTTCTAAGTGTAATTGGGACTCATAATTTGAGACATAAGAACTAGACTTCAGGAGTCTCATTCAGCACAATTGTTGATTATTTTGGACGGTCATTCTTGTTGGTTGAGAAAATACTTTTGTTCAATTAATCTAAAACCAAGGCTTGTCATGGTGCATAAGCGCATGCCTGTGAATTCTAGAGGTAAAGATTTACACTCAAAACCTGGAAGAAAGTGAGAAATTTGAATCTTAATTTCTTTGTGCAGGTTGTCTGTATTTTATGTTCAGGAAGTTTTTCATGACATAACGTTATATATCAAGAGAGGTCACAATATGAGAAACAGTTTTGGATGTAACTCTCTTGGAAAATGAGCTTGCTGAAGTTTCGGGGAAAAAATTCTCTGTTTGTGTTAGTTTAAAAAACTGGATATTTTTAATGATAATCTTTTATTTCAGAAAATGTCATCGTCTTTTTATGTACATGAAACCCTATCAAAATTAATCATCGGTTGTTATCCTAGATGTTGCCAATTTCAGTTTTCTAACAACTTTGGAATTATGACAATCACTCTTGATTCAAATTTGCACCCAGCACTGAAAACACTCAGCAAGCTTTGAAGACATGTCGTAAAAGCATTTGCCTGGTTGTAGAGAAATACTTGACAGACTTGCAGAAAGGTATGTGTGTGGAAATGTTCAGTTCATCAAATGGTAGTGCTAACACTTTTGAGTAGGAAGCAAGAAATAAAATCAGAACTGCAGGGTACCCCATTTCCTAAACTTTCCCTGAAAAAGACGGGAAAATGTCTTGTTATTTCCTGAATTTGGCTTCTGAAAATTTAATAGACCGGCTCACCCCAATTTAATTTGCCCCTAGAAAGTTGATAAAGAACCTTCCCAAAAAAGATTAACGAATAGCATTGAGCAAGTTGGATCAAGGACTGTAGGTAACTATAGTCAGACTAAATCTGATCCAACTTAGGCTAGTTAACAATGGTTGGACTAGTCTAGTCAACTATTTGCGACCATCTCATCGAGGTTGACCATATCATTGGTTGCCAAATACCGTTTTAATTTCACAGTGACAGAGGACCAGTTATAAGAAAAATGGCGGAAAAACAGTATTCCATGAGTAAACAACCATTTTCACTTGAATTGGCTCCTTTGCCCCTCCTTCGGCCTCCTTTTCTCCCCTTCGGCCCAGCGACCTGACAATGGTTGACTAGGGTCATTTGCACTTCAACTTCACTGCATATATGCTAGGTAGGTCACGAACCAACCTCTAGTTAACTGGTGGTCCTTGATGGCACTTGCCTGTTGTTTTTCCTTAATTCAGTACCTTTATAATTCTTGCTATTTTTTTACAGTTTCAGCAGAACTGTCAAAGGATGCATCTGGCACACCAGCAGAACTGTCCAGGGGTGCATCTGGTACACCCCTCTGCATCGTTGTACTCAATTTCCTACATTCTTGCATGAGGCAGTTCCCCAACATCTTCGCTCGCACAGGTTTGACAATGTCTGGTGCCATTGACACAGCAGTACCCATGAGGCCTCAGTTGCTGGTGCCTCAGGATCCTGAGTATTACATGTGTAGAGGTATGATGTTGGGCACCAGACTTCTTTTGTATGGTCAAGTTTCACTCCAGAACAAACTAACCTGATAAGAGCTAAAGGTGACAATTTCAAATGTGAAAACAGTTCCCAAGGAAGAGCATTTTTGATGGATTTTTTTCTAGATCCTTCAAGATTCACCGGTCCCAAGTAATGTGATAGTGACCAGACTATGCCTTCCTCAGTCCTGTAGAATCTTCCAAACCTTGTCATGGGTTTTGTAGGATCGAGAAATGATAGGGTTTAATCTCTTTAATGTGATGTAGCAGACCTTGCTCTAAAAACAGTCTGATAATTTGCCTCCAGGGCAAGAAAACTGTGTTTTTATCCACACCGATAAAAACTCAGATCAGAGGATCATCTCAATGCAAGTTTTATTTATATCTTGTCATGGTCAACTACATGCAATCTGTTAACATTGTTCACCTCAGTGGGCTTTATACATACAATGCCGAGAAATTACCACGAGAAACACTTACAGTGTTAATTTTAATGCCTGGGATTCCATTTTATCAATGATTTCAAACTTGTTGACCTAATTACCTTTGTTATTTGGCAAGATCAATTTGCAATATTATCTAGAGGTATCCATTCATATACTTGGCTGGAAGGAGGCAGGTAAGGATGAAGGGACTTGCTCAAGGTCACAGTATGCTGCCTGCTACTGGATTCGAACCTCCGACCTCTGATAGAAAGTTCCTAACCACTAGGTTCATTGTACACAATCTTTAACCTCTGCTTGTTTGGTTTCAAACTCATACACAGGTCTGAATATGTGGCTGTTATCTTGCCTGACCAGGATTCTCAATGATTACTTTTGCTTGGCCCTTCACGATCAAATCACCCGAGTCACAGTGTCTTTGCTTCATGCTGTCAAGTACAAAGACCCACCATCCTTCACCGAACTACTGAATGAGTTCTGTCGACTCTTGACAGGTGAAATTGGCAAGGAGTTTGCTCCGTTTGTGTAGATGACGAGATATGTGTAGTACCTGTTTTGTGGTGACCAAGAAAAAGGTTGGACTGGCACTTGAATGGCAAAGCTGTCTTGTGATCACTTCCTCGCTGGCAAAGATGAGATGGGCTGGTTGGGAAAATTTGTTGCACTTGCGAAGGCTGTCCATTCCAACAGAAATTAGTCATGCGTGCTTGGTATAGCCTGTGCCAAGAGGCCTATGATAGATCCCCATGAAAGGGATGTCATAGTGATGGAGTAGCATGCCATTTCATGTTGTTACACGGATATAGATTAACACTTGACTGAAGTGTACCCATTATGTGTCTATCTAGGGATACATCATTTCATGAGATTTCACCATCACTCCCTGTGATGAAATAGCGCATTTTGTCCCTAATGAACTAAGCTTTTCGGTAGTAATGAACATGTTGTTGGCCAGTCTTAGCCAAATTCGTACTAAGTCTTTGAACACTGATGCAGTGGAGAGAGGAGAATAAAATTGCAAACTTTGCATGGATAATGGAACAGTTATCAAAATTTTAAAAGTTTATTTAGGATGACAAAAGTAGGTCTAATATGAGGGATTTTTCTCTCTTTTTCGTGGTCACAGCGATAGTTTGTGTTTAATTGCAAGCCAAAAAGTATATGTATTGCTAGGATATTACAGACCCTGCTTGCCTGGCTAAGATGCAGGCAGTAATCAGGCATTTTTGGAATATTTTCTATTATTCGTCTGACTCGGCGGCGACCATCATTGGACGCTTTGAAGTGCCTGAGTTACAACTCCTGTGTCCTTCCTCAATGATGTAAGCATGCTCCACTATCGCCAAGCGGAATGTGTGTGGGTAAACCATTGAATAACTGGGCAGATACTAAGACAGTGTTCCGTTTGTATCCTTGTTATTAGGTATAACCATTTTGTTTCATAAACCTGTTTTGTTGCATTGATGTGTTTTTCCTACAGATGTCTCTGCTGCAGTGTCGAATAACTTTGCTGCGGGTGATGTGGAAGAGTTGGACCCCCCTCTGGAAATTGAACACTTTGTAGTTGATGGGGACCAGCTAAACAGCTCAGAGGTGTGATGGGATTGATTGTATTGGCTAAACCACAAGCCCCAATGCACATGAAGGGCCATGAACGAATGCAATGTCTTTCACAGATGCAGAATTGCAGTTCAAATGTTAGGTGTAACAATGATCTGGCTATTTGTATAAACTAGTACTGCTGATGGATGAAAACATCAAGGTCACCATGACTCTATTCCGGCTGATATATGTTCATTCTCCACAAAGCTTGAGAGGTCTTGGAGGTGAATCCTTGTGCTGTGCTGTAGCAAACATTGTTCCCAGAGTGTTGTAAAACACAAGGTTACACTAAGAAATATCATACAGATGCTGGTCAGGTGGTTCTTGTAAATATCAGTATTTGTGATGTTTGGTTGTACATCAAGAGTTGCCTGCCATATCTTGCTTCCTTTTGAAAGTTGAAATTTTCAACCAAAAGCAATACCGTCGACAACAGGTTAAAGACCAATTAATACAAAGTTCTTGTGCGAAAGAAGGTCATGTGACACAAACAAGTTGTCTTGTCTTCACAGTCCCCTGCTGGTGTGACCTCTATCATCAACCTGTTTAGTGAATTACTCTTATTGTTAGAATTGACTATATGTCTTCTTAGGATCAGGGAGTACTTTGCCATCAAGTGCAGAGTTTTTGTGTCTGAAGAATGCTATTTGGCACAAACAGGTTGTCTGGTCCTGACAGTCCCCTGCTGGTATAACCCCCATCACCTAACATCTTAACGGTGCTCTGTTAAGTGAACTACTCGCCGTTGCTAGAATTGACCATTTTTCTTGTTTGTTAGGACCAGGAAGTACTTGCCATCTACAATAACTCCAGACCAATCACTTTGAGATATCATACCAACTGTAATCTACTTCAGTTGGCTTTGACGTGAGTATGTGCACAAGTGGTGTTCTTTGAATTGTCACTCTCTTGCCTTAGGCAAGACTATGAAGGTTTACTTGCTCCATCAAAATGAGAATTCTTTCCTTCCACTTGTTAAGACTTGTCAGTCCTAAATGCTGGTGGGGTATGTATGGATTTGCTGCATTGTTGGTCTCAAGAATAACCTGCATTGAGGCTGAGAGTTCTTCTCTAAACTTAAATCAAAGGGCTGTGCTAAAGAAATGAGTTGTATCAGATTTGGGTTCAAAAAGTCTCTGGTGGTAGTTATAAAAGTTTAAAATAACCACTTTTCAGGATTTTTTCCTGGACCTTGGATTGAAGTTTGTTATGAGGGTGGTGAGCTGGTTGTTAGATTTCATTTTCCACAATAAAGGCTTTTACTCTGTTCCAAAATAACCAATTTCTGCTTTGCTTTAATTTCTTGATGTTTATCCATTCCATGATCAAATAAATCGTACTTGACTGTATCATACTTGACATTCTTCCTATTTTAGGAAGATCCTGAGTGAAGTGATACCAGATGTGACACTGATCCGTTCAATCCATCAAACCCCAGGCCTTTGGGACACACTGGTTACCCAGTTCGATGCTGGCCAGTATGAAGTTAAACAGGTATTATCAATCTTCAAATTACTTTCTGCCATAGAGCAAAAACTATTCTACACTCATTTTCACATGTTCAATTTTTTTCCAGTTTTCAAAATCAATTTAATATTTCTGAATATTGTGGGCCTAAGTGGCTTTCAAGCAGATGAAGGCCAAGTGATACACTTACTTTGTGGAAATGTAAATTGCTATTTTAAGAGACTTTTGAGGCATGTGTATTTTTGGGTGGAACATCAGACTCTTGACTAAAAATGATAGCAATTCTGAAAGCCGTTGTTGTCAAGTTAAAAAGGATTTATAGTTACATGTACTGTATGTATAGAAAGTTAAGATTTTTCATGTAAGTTCTGACTGTAAAAAATTAAGAATTCAAATCATCAGGCATTAAGCTTCTGCCATATTAAAGAGAATGATCTGGCTTGATAGTCTCAAGCAGGTAATACAATGTTTTGGATTAACGCAAGATCTACCCTATCACCATGGCTGTGTACTAACTGACACGTACTGAACATACTTAACCAAGCGTGACTTTGACCTTGCCTGGTGATGTACTAACTTGGCTTTATCCCACGTGACTTTGCCTGGTGGTGTACTAACTTGGCTTTATCCCAAGTGACCTTGCCTGGTGATGTACTAACTTGGCTTTATCCCAAGTGACCTTGCCTGGTGATGTACTAACTTGGCTTTATCCCAAGTGACCTTGCCTGGTGATGTACTAACTTGGTTTTTATCCCAAGTGACCTTGCCTCGTGATGCACTAACTTGGCTTTATCCCAAGTGACCTTGCCTGGTAATGTACTAACTTGGTTTTTATCCCAAGTGACTTTGCCTGGTTATGTACTAACTTGGTTTTTATCCCAAGTGACCTTGCCTGGTGATGTACTAACTTGGTTTTTATCCCAAGTGACTTTGCCTGGTTATGTACTAACTTGGTTTTTATCCCAAGTGACCTTGCCTGGTGATGTACTAACTTGGTTTTTATCCCAAGTGACCTTGCCTGGTGATATACTAACTTGGTTTTTATCCCAAGTGACTTTGCCTGGTTATGTACTAACTGGGCTTTTTATCACAAGTGACCTTACCTGGTTATTCACTAACTTGGCTTTTATCCTGAGTGACCTTCCCTGATTGATTTACTAACTGGGCTTTTTATCCCATTGATATACCAACTTAGCTTATTGAGAATCCACTTAGTATCATTATTTAGTTGGACATGTTTTAGCAAGTACAGTGCTTATTAATAGGCTAAGATGTTGCTTGTCATCACAAGGAACTGTGTTTGTTTGTAACAGGTCACACTGGATGTAATAACTAAATTGCTGGCTCTGAATGGACCACCTACAGTCGACATTCTTGACAAGTTAATCCATCTCATGCTATTCCTCCTGACGTTATTCCTCTCAGGAGACAACTTGGAAAGTTACGAGTAAGTTTAATCCATAGAGATAATCCCTTATCTTATCTGCATAATACAAGCTTTGTGAGCGGAGAATTTCAAGGACATGAAAAAGCTTAATCTTTCTAGAGAATCATTGACAACCCATGGAATCAGGTAGGGACTGAAAACCCAATCTACATGTGGACCGGGCCGGGATTCGAACCCAGGTTCCAGAGTTGGAAAGCGAGAAAAGAACCACTAGGCCAACCTGACTCCCCTTCTTAACTCCTGTAGTGGGAGTGGGGAGTATTGTTTGCAAGATCAGTTATTTCTGTGGTATATTTTCCAGGAAGCTCTCCAAAGCCATCCAAATAAGAAATAAAACATTGGTGCATTATCTAGGGTCCGTGTAATTGGGGTTTTTTAGTGGGGTGCATGGAATCCAGAATTATCAAATATTTCAGACCCAGTTGAAAATGAAGAAAATTCAGTTTTTCTGTGTTATCCCTAAAAAAGATCTGAATCCTAAGATATGCTTATTTTACTCAAAATGTGCTTATCTGTCAACCACTACGTATTAAGGATTTATCCATAACTAAAAATGTATTGTGTATTCCACAATCAAATCTAAAATATGGGAAATACTCTATATAATATATCAATATAATGATTCACAGTAATAAAACAGTAATAATTTTGCTTGAACTTCAAAGGGATGTGGTTGGTTTGGAGCAAAGCCTCGCTTCATGCTTCAGTGAATTTTTCTGTCTTGAACAACACAACCATCACCAACGTTTACCTCTCTCAGTTCTTGAGGTTACCATGGAGACCATTGCTAGATACCTACCAATCAGAGGCCTAGGAGTCATTCAGACAGGTGGGACCTTTTCTTTTTGTTATTGCGGTTGTGCTGAAATTTGGCGTGAATTATGAACGATGTTTGGATAGGGCCTCATTGCTTAATTGATATTTGTACTCATATCACGAGATAAACCTGCTTCAAATGTTGTTGTGCTGCTCATGTACAAGTTGCAAATTTATAAGGTTCAACTGAGGATAAGAAGACAATTTCTAAACACTGTAACTGAAATGTATGTTATGAGGATTCAAAACAAATTCTATAAATCCTACTTACTTCACTTTACCTCTCCTTGTTATTTATTGTGCTGTTGTCTATGTAACTTGTAAGTCGGTGGATTTCATCTGGCTCATCACTGTCGGAATTGTTTTCCAGAGGAGTTGCGAGGTGAAATCGGTTCCATGCTTCAGTATGTCTACAGCCAGTTTGCTGTTGATTCTGAGCCGATGGTTACAATTAGACAGAAACACACCAAGACCATCAACACTGCCCTCATTGTTGACTTGGGAAAGATTTCCAACCTTCAGGTAAGGTTAGAGCATTCTGGTAATCAATCTGCAGGTATTCTAACCTTGCTGTGTTCAGCTTGCTTTCTCCTTGGTATTCCTTCCAGTCCCTCACTCTTGGTTTTACCAATGAAATTAAACTTGTACTATGCCACATTCTGTCGCTGAGATAACCTAGGCAATGTAGACGTGTACACAAATTGTGATGATGATAGAGCCCGAGTGTGTATTAAGCAAAAGGAACGGAAATTCTTTGTGAGATTTGAAAGGGCAACGTGGCTTGCATTCTCTTGCAAATACTTCAATATAACAGTGGACCATGTAATATCAAGTACAGTAAAATCTCGATAACTCAAAGTCGGTTAACTGGAAACTCTGCTTAACTCAAAGCATAAGTAATTCCTGCTGAAAGAATAGGCTTTGATGTACAAAAACATATCCGTAACTCAAACTGCTCACTTTGCCGGATTCGTTTACCTTAAACGTTTTTGTGTAGCAGATCCAATAGAAACCGCTGCCAAAACACTTCCAGAAAGTGTAAACAGAACGCGGGTGTAGTTATGAATCATTTCTGACACGCACACATCGTCTTTTCTCACCGGATCACTTGAAAACGCGCTAAAATGACGATCGATCTAGACATGTAAACCACATCGTGACCGCAAAATCCGACTTGCAGGACTTGGCCCAATTGTTACCGTGGGCCCATTGTAGCCAGTGGGTCGGCAGGCCAACTGATGGCTCTTTGCAGTGGCTGCGGCAATGCATTGGGGATCCTTGTGTATGCCGCACGCACCACATGTACAGAAGTTAAGTCTTGCCTAATCTTCTGGCCCAACTGCTTGTGCTCACCCGTGCGATGGCTGCCCAATTAGAGCCACAAACCACAGCATGCTCACGCGCAGTGGACCAACCATGTGACGGCAACACACAGCTTTTGCGTAGCCAAATCTCACCCCCAAAAAATAAACACAAGTTTGAAAATAAAGAACAAAGAACAAAAAATAAAAGCTGATACCAATAGCATTTTTGTTTTTACAAAATTTTATTGAAGCACAAAAAGGTGCGCCCTCATATGATGAAAAAAGTCTTTGGGGAAACCCCACCCGAGTACGCATGTGCAAGGTGCTGCGTTGCGGTGCGCGGTATCAGAAATGGGACCATCACAATGCGTCACACATGCACAATGCAAAAGAAAGATTTGCCACACAAAGGTACACAGTTTAAATGATTTACAGTACATGTAATGTGTTACATGTATTTATCAGCCGATTGACAACAAAAATCCCCTGCAAAAATGTCTTTCTATGAACAAAAACTTGTGGCACCAAAGTATAAAATAACCACAGTGTCATTTCAAAAGTCATCGTAGGGAGGTTTACGGTAACTGTGCATCATTGTATAGGTACATGTTATGATACACATCGTAATAATGACTTAACTTCAAAAGAAATCTGGACATTCTTTAAACTGGAATTTCAGATAACTTGATTTTTTTGTCCATTCCCCAGAAAATTTGAGGTATCGAGATTTTACTGTAGTTTTTTTCAGTGAAGTTGTTGGCTCTGTGCTGCTTACCTTCCCTTTGTGATCTCACTTCTTCATGTTTTATCTTAGGTCTGTGTTTCTATAATACAGCTTTGCCCATTTGGAGTGGTCTTTTTTTATCCCTCAATCAATCAAACAGATACAAAGAAGATTAGCTTCCAAGATTATTGCTGTAGACGTTGCACTGAATCTGCCAATATAATAAGTAGCTCTTACAGTAAAAATCTAGTCTCATTTTAAGCTTTCCTGATTGTTGCAATAAAAACAATCCATTGAAATTATACAAATTGGTTTTCTTTCCCCAGTTTGTTGTAGCACCACACTTGACGACAATCCAGAATGAATTCTCATCCTACCAAACCTGCAAACCTGAGTTACGAACATCAAATCATCCCTCTACCACATCCACTCTATCAACAGCATCATCCCGCATCAGCGGGAAAAATACCCTCATCTCCATGGCAACTGTTGCTATGGATACCAGTAGCTCATGTGCAAGCAGTAGTGATGAGAGGCAGGAGAAGAGGAGACGTCTGACATTACACCGGACACCAGGCAAAAAGGGATCTAAACCAGGGTAAGTCTAAACACAAATGGATGGTACAAAGAAAGGATCAAAGGATTTTATGTCAGTTGATGTGAAGGATATGCTTCAGTGCAGGGCTGCATTGAAGACAACAATCCTTAAGTGATCCAAAAAGATATCATTTTGTAAAAGTGTGGAAGGAAAATCGGAAATCTATGGTGGGGAAATTGTAACCCATGTGACACAGTGCACCAAGTTCAGATTTGAATTTTGTAGGCAAATAGGAAAGTGAAGAAAGAATTGTCACAGCCAAACAGTCCAGTGCATGTGAGGATAATATTTAAATTTGATTGTCCGTGAAAAAAGAACACCTAGCCTTCCACTGACAATATGAACAGTTCCTAAAAATGCGGAAACATGAATTTTATGTGATGTCAGGAACTTTGTGAGTAAAAGAGACAGTAAAAATGCTTTTCTGATTGATTGATTGATGTGATTTGTTTTTGATGTCAGAGAGATGACCAGCAGTAGTGATGAGGATTCAATTTCCATTGTTGAGAATTCAGACACGGTAAAAGAAATCAGAGAGAAGTTGAGCAGCCTGTACCTAAGTGTCACCAGGGGAGAAGGGGTAAGTGCAGGAGCAGGATTTGTCCTTTGATTGCAGACTCATTATAGGATCCCACAAGGTCCATAATACTGAAGAAATATCAATTTTTAAAAACTTTTATAAGACGTTTTAAATAATTTTGGTTTAGAGTCCATACAGGAGGTGTGGATGACACTTTGTGGCTTAGACATGAAAGCCTTCTAAAGATGTATCATACTGCTAACATTGGGATTTGAAGCACTTCTGTATCATGATCATGTCTTTGGCAAAGGCTTTGAAAGGAAACATAACACCAACCAGTTTACATCTTGTGCAAGATCTTATTGATTTAGAATGCTTTAAACCTTCATCATTAAATTGTGGAATGTTATTGCCCTCGATGAACAATCCCGTTGTAAAAACCCACCGAACAAAATGGCTGCCAGGAAGTATTCTGTTGTAGTACATGTAGTGTATCTTACTTATGGACACTTGAACTATGCACCAGTAAAAGGACAGGTGTCCATTGACAGGCAACAACTGCAACTGTAAAATTGGTTAAATGGAGAGATTTAATGCACAAAGGCAAAATGTACATTGAACGAGTAAAATGAAGGATGCAGAATGAAGGTCAGAGATTGCAGACTCTAGAGGGCGCAATCACAACTACTGGTGGTGATTGAAATCACAATTTCAAGAGTTTGCCAAAATCAAACTCATGACATCCCTTCGTCTCTTATTACAATAAGAATATCCTACATTGATCGTAACTTCAGGAGAGTCTTCCAACCGTTTTAGAGGGAATTCGATGTGCCCTAGAGATCCTTCTGCGATCATGTTCCCATCTGTTTGCCAAGACAATGCCAAAAGACAAGTCCACCAATCCACCTGACAAAACCCCACGGTCATCCAAATTACGAAACAAAGGTCAGCAGTTGAGCAAGAACATGTTTTCTGCTTGGATGCCTGCCCAACAAATGCAAGAACTGTGTGCTGCCCTCGTAGGTGTCGTACGTAATCTGGCAGGTTGCCAAGAGGCGGTCGTTGAACCTTGTTACAAGAAACTTGTTGAAATTATTGGTTCCTTGCTAACCACGCAAGGTGAGTGACATTCTTACGATAATTTAACATTCTGTTGTCTGAATGAGTAACATAATTTTGACTTCAAAAATTTCCTTGATTGCACAAAATTGTTGTTATGATATTTAGACTCATTTATACCTGAATAGGTACACACAACATGTTTAAGAGAATGAGTGGATGATTTTAGTTTGAGCTGAAATATTTGAATAGACCTAAACAAAATGACATCACTCTTTGTGTACATGTGTGCTTTCTTGTGGCAGTGAGGTTGGATTTGATCCATTGGAAAGCGCTAATGTAAACAATGCATGAAGTCTTGTTTTAGGCCTATTGGTAACACGTTCAATTTTGATGCTTTGTTGTTCTCAAAAACATGAAGTGTAATAATACCAAATTTTGCAATCTGAATAACCTACGGATCATTTAAAATCATGCTAAATCATGCAACTGTATTCCCTTTTCAGACTTTGTAAAGTTGCCCATTTTTCAACTGCACACATTCGTTTGGATGCTGTCATTACCATGGTTACCAGTAAGTCATTTTCTCCTTGCAAGCTACCAGTATGAAATGTTCTTTGCATGCCAGTCTTAGTAGAATTGTTCTCAGAGATTACCTCAAGAGTTTGGATTGTTTCAGTTGGTAGGATCTATCATGTCTTCCTTAGCTGCAGAGTTTGATAGCATGAGATGTCAGTGCAAGAAAGCGCAGATTTGTGGGAAAGTGTTGAAATTTTTGTAGACAGTCACAGAAGGCACTTTGCATGTGCTGTCTTTGCACCGTATCATTAACTTAAAGGCCAATCGGGAGTTCATAAAGAAAAGGGGATGGAATTTAATCTATAAGTTATTTTCCCTTCCAGATGGATTCTAACTGGCTTGATCTCAGAGTCCAGGGGGAAGTGACAACAAAAGAGGTCGCTGACCTGAGCACTGCCTTGGCTGATAAGATTGGTAAGTCAGGACTCACTCTATGTATGGCATTGATATTGGCCATAATTAAATATCTTTCATGTGTCAGGATATTTGCAATCAGTGCCAGATCAGAGTTTGAGGTGATGACAGTAAAATATTGCCCGAAAGTTGACTTCAGTCATTTGAAACTGAAAAAGGGTCCTACTTGGAACTTGACTCAAGCTCTAAGATTCCACAGAATATTTCTTGTATTGTAATGCTCTGTCTCAGGATTATGCCTGGATTCAAAAAGTCCAGGCGTGAGTTTGACACCAAGTTAACCTTTAGAAGTTGAGGCCTCAGTCAGGTCTAGAATGATCAAGTCAAGACCTGATTTCAGTTTTGGTTTGGATCTGGGGGGGTTCCAGGTCTCCCTGTTGCTGTGATGCCAGAGACTTGGGCCCTTCTTAGATGCAACACTGCTGAAGATTTATAAGAAGTTATGTTAAGCTATTCTTAATAATCGGCATTTTCATGTCAGCAGGGTCTGCTTAAATGATCTTTCTTGGTGGGGCTACCTTTGTTCAGTGGTTTCTCATCAAAATCCAATCAGTTTGATGGATATTTGTTTTCAGATGAGGAAACCGAGTGTCTGTTTCTTCATTGTCTTGCACTGTTTCCGAAAGAAGTTGCCTCCAAGTGGAGAACACACATCTTCAAAGCAGCTGTGGTTAGTTTTACCTACTTATAATTATTCATGCTGAGAAGAGGAAGTTGGGGACGGACTGTACTTCCCAAGAAATGAATTCATCTGCCTTACAAAATGTTATCACTCATAACAGCTTTCTTAATAATTTTTCCATATCTCTATGAGTCATTATGTAATGAAACTTAATTTTGAACTATTTTGAGTACTTGCGATGACAAAGAAGGCTTTTTCAAATTTGGCACCGTTACATCTCTATGGGAACTCAATTGGCTCAAATCAGGAGTGCTCTATCTCGGGAAATGCTCAAACCTTTTGCACACGCAAAACATGCTTGAAAATAGGAAGTGAAAGGCTCAGAGGGCAAGTCACTCCCCAAGAAACTTACCCTTTCCAAGGATCCCACAAGAGACAGAACTTTGGGAGCAGTGTTGGAGGAGTGTCGGAGACATCCATTCCGAGGTTTTACACACTGTCTCAGAAATGCCATTTTCTTGATTAAATCAGATTTCCTTCTGGGTATAATAATGCTTAATGATTTGATGTTCAGGTATCAGATGCTGCCATATTTGTCTTGTACCCTGTAGACCCATTGGCAATAGTAATACAACTTCACATATTGAAGAAAAAGGAACCGACTATTTTTTCCTTTTAGTCTCGGGCCGTGTCCGAAACGGGCTTCCAGAGATATGGCTAGGTCTATTTACGCGTCTCCATGCATTTCCAATGGAGCGGAGACCTAGACCTAGCTCTAGACAAGAGATACGGATGCAGCCTTAGTTTGGTTACATTGCTTGAATGGTACGAAAGCAATATGGCTGCCTAATGATAGAGGCCTGTGATTGTTTTTCTTGACAGGGAAGTAACAAGGTAAAAGTTCGTGTTGCTGCAGTTAGGGCCTTCCCTTTCCTGCTTCACAATCTAGGAATCAATTCACTGCATCTTCTGTATGATCACATCCAGTAAGTATCAAAGTTCATGATAGGTTTTTTGTAATCATCAGGTGTTGCCAAGTGCTCGAAAGTTTCCTGAATCCACCCAATTTGAAAAAAAGTGTGCCAAGAGCACATTCTTTGTGCAAATAGGATGTCATGTGATAGTAGCTGGTTAGACGGTTTCAGGGTTTTGCCAAGTTCTTCCAACTTTATTGGCTTTGTGCTTCACTGTTGTTGGACGGACCCTATTGAATTCCACAAACTATAATGGCTAGAGTTGGGTAGCGTGGAGTAGGCATGGTGTGTATATGAAAGAGGGCGCTTACCTGACAGTCAGATCTCCTTTGACTGACTCCATTGTATGCATAATTCCATATGACAAAAAGCGTGCATCACTCAGTGAGAAAAAGTCCTTGTAGGTTGTTCGAGTTGGTGATAGGTATCAGCCAAGCTGGTCTTTATTTCACCAGTTAGGGGATATTTTAATGTGCCACCTCAGCTTTCTCATCTTTTATTTCCACTGATAGATTAGTATGTGTTGATTTTCCTGACCCTGTAAGCCTTTGTCAACTTTTCTGGTCTGTTCTCATCTTGTGCTTTGTAACATCATCCTGTTTGATATCATTCTCTCACTTTATAATTGACCTGTTTGTTGTATTGATTCTTATCTTTAGTGGCATGCTAAAAGACAAATCCACAGAGGTTTTGGAGGAACTTGGCAGGAGTATTGGAACTATGTCATGTGTCATCAGTAAAAATGTCACACCCAACAGGTAGGTTCCTTCCCATCAACCACTACTCTCTGTAAGGACATTAATTTTCACTTTTAAAATCCAGTAAATGAGTATTTCCTATCAAGTAAGCACAGCATAGATCATACAGGCATAGTTCATATTGTACAGGACGAAGGCAATTGTGACCCCAGATCAGTATGATTACAGTTTTTTGGTTTAATTTATTCTATACTAGAACATTTAAGACATTTCTCCATCTATGTGGACAGTAATAATCTTGTCTTCACTATGGGTGAGGAAAAAGTAATTGTGAATTCTTGCGAGATCGTACTGCCATTCTTTTGAGACTGTTGTCTGACCAACAAGGCTGTTGGTAATGAAAACATTTTTTTAGAAATTGCGAAGATTGGGTAAACTGTTAGCCCTTAGACACTCCATGCATTCTGACTTCACAACTTGGTCTTTTTATGTTCTTATTTTGACAGGACCTTTGACCTACGTGCTTTGACTACCCTGTCTAGTACCCTGACTCTTCATTGTCATACCTGTGAGCAAGACACTGCTACTTCAGTAGGTGGAGAGTCAGTGTCCAGTGAGAGTTTACCATTAGCTGTTGTCACGCCGTATCTTACTTTGCTCTCACACAAAGTCTCTGTCAAGCAGGGTAGGTTTCCTTGTACAAGAATGAAAATAACTACTGTCAATTTTCCATTTTCTGTATGAGGTAGCATGAAAAAAATCAAAAACCATTTATATGTTCTCTCAGAAACTGAGAAAGCTGGAAATGTTGGTCCCGTGTGGGTGTCCCTTGACTTACAGATCCTTCTCTACTTTGGCACTACATTGAGAATAGTTTTGATTAATGTTATTGTAAATACAGGAACATTCAGCAAAAATGTGTTGTGACTTGACTGTTAATATCTTATCGTTGAAACTTATTTTTTGTGTCTGTTCAGAGATCAGGATGCACTTCATTACCCTGATTTCCTTGAGGAGCAAAAAGTTCAAATTTAAATCAAAATATTTTTATGCATTAAAAGAAATCAATATAAATTTGTACCTGTGATGATGCAAATATTCAAAATCATGGCATAAATAATTGATTTGCTTAGTATGTTATTGCAGATAAAATGAATTGTTTATTGACAGCATTTCTGAGCAGTTTCCATCATGTCTACAATCACCTGGATCTTCTGAGACCCAACACAGCTGTGACTAACTTCCTCATTTCCTGCCTTGATCTGATTGAGGACAAGTCCTATGATCTTAGGGTTGAATTCAGGTATGCAGCATTGTCTCTAAGCTCCCTTGTTGAATGCTAGATCATTGCACACTGACATACATTTCAATAAGTTAATGTTTCAAATGTGATACATTTGTTCACAAGTTGACAGCTGGAAATAAAGCAGAAGCTATTTTCTTCACAGCTGCCCTACACCTGTTTGCCCATACCCATTGTCTTGTATTTTCAATACTCATTAGCGCTTTGCTCGTGTAGTGAAAATTGACTGTTCTACAGTAAAATCTCGATAAGTCGAAGCCCGTTAAGTCAAAACTCCGTTTATCTTGACGTTTTTCCATTTTCCCAACAAAAGAATAGGCCTTGATGTACAATAAACTATCCGTAGCTCAAAACGTCAATACCACTAAAGCCGCCTATCTCGAAGTTTAGGCAGGCCAATTAAAACAAAAAACACTGAAGAATGATGAATAAAAAGTGATGAAAGAACGCTTGCCTTCATTATGAGTCATTACTGTCACGCGCACTTTTCTTTGATGAGCCGAGCATGTTCACACGGGCTGCCATTGTCACGTCGACAAGCACTGGGTGGGCATCAACCGCAACCGTGTCCGAAAAGGGCTTTCAGAGCTAAAGCTAGGTCTATTGTCTGCGCGTCTCCATGCATTTCCAATGGAGTGAATACCAAGACCTAGCTCTAGACAAGAGATTCGGATGCAGCCTAAATCAGGCACGAATGATGCGCCCTCAAGCACTTTGTACATGTATCATGTGACCCAGCACGGAAACCCTGACCGACTTGCCCGCGTGCTCGCTGCATTATGTGGTAACAGCCTGATCAAGCAAAGCAAATGAATAAATTCTCAAGACGTTGACACAGGTACTGGTACATAACTTCATTGGTTTATTTTTTATTAATGTACCACATAAAAACATTTAATGATGATGTTTGAGGAAATCTTGCACAGTAGGGATAGCCTAAAATCCACTTCGTGTTCGACTCAGCTTGCAGGCCAACTGCTGTAAGTCAGTAAGGTTGCATGTGCACTGAAGCGAGTAACTTTCGATAACTCGAACGTCGGATAACTCAAACTTTTCGTCCATTCCCCTGAGCTTCGACTTATCGAGATTTTACTGTATATTCTGTTCTGTTCATATGCTTAAACCAGGCATACACATCACTAGGACCAGGTTCCTCTTCTTGGAGTTTATCAGAAGACTAGGTTCCAGTTTTCTAGTCTCCACAATGCAAAATCTCATATTGCCTTATAAATTCACTCCCCTTTACTTCTTATTTCCTGTAAATATACCCATCACATCTATAGATACCCTATTTTATTATCTCCTAAAACTGTTTTTTCTGAGTCAGATATGACACCACATCCACTGTTTCTTTCCCTTTGTTTCCATAGCAAGAACATCAAGTATCTGATTGGTTGTGGAGAGCGATCCAACACAGCCAATGACCAGGCAGTAGTCACTAGACTCAAAGCTGCGTTCTTGGCTGCCAAAGCCTCAGGGAATAACAGGTTGCAAGAGACAGTGGTCCACACAATCGCAGAACTTGGAATGTAAGTAACAATATTGAGGTGTATGAGGGTTGTCAGTCAAGCTGTGGAACATTTGGCGACATTTGGTCATGTTGTAGAGAAGGTCTTTAAATTATTCTTTTGTAGTCACTTTTGTTGTTTAATGTTTCAGAGCATTTTGAATTTTCAGGTTGATGTTTTGAAGAAAAACTGGTCGTGGATGTAATCAAGAGATCACACCATTTTTATCAGTCTGATTTAATAAAGTTCAATATTTCTTGCACTTATTTCCAACACATCAATAGTTGAAAACACAACACACCATTCTAATTTGTAGTAGGGAGATAATTGGAAGTCTTGTTGATATCAGGAAATCTGATATTTCACTCTAAATGCCACCCTTTTCAGAAGATAATATCAAAGGATAATATTGGCAATATCATGGCCCACGGCTGTAACATTTTTCAATGTCACATGGCTTATTCTTTTACATATGTGATGGTGTTTTTTACCATATTTATGATAGGGTTGCTGAGGGGGAGTTGTTACTAGTCACCATCATCAGTCTATTAGAATCCCTTCTCTCCTCGTCAGTTCTGGTCAGAGCTGCTGCCTATGTCAAGGTTAGAGGAATGAGCCAATCACAGTGGTCATTGGGATAGAGTGGTGATATTCACCTCTCACCCCCATGACCTTGGTGCTTGGTGTTTTATTGGATTTTTGCTTTTCATTATTTAGATTGAGAGACTTCACTTTAACCTTGGTATGAACTTCTTGAATGTAGTTTGAGATTTCAGTTAATGTCATCATTTGCATCATGTATGACTTAGATTGGCCCCATAAAGAGCCTTCCAATGAGGTATTCAATGTTCAACACATTATTCAAAACAAAACCATACAGATTGGAGCCCCTTTTCTTCAACCAAAACCTCTGTTGGGTATTCTCTAGACATCCTACAGAGTCTAATAGAATCCAACAACAGAAAAAATGTGAATCCTGCTGAACCTGAATCCAGCAGCTAGGTCAAAAGGCCTTTTGTTCACTGCTCACATCAATAAAATCCAACAGAAAGTGACTACTATTGGATATCATTGGATTCAGCACAGATAGGGTTAATGGAAGTATAAGCTATGGGAGGAATCTGACTTGCTGTCTTTTTGGAAAAGCTCCCATTCCCAAATGTGTCAAATCATCAAAGACCACTTTCTTGAAACCAGACCATACAATCAAAGTAGAGGAAAAAGGTCATTTGCCTTGAATTGGTATGTTGTAAATTTTGTTTGTTGTATTTATTGTTTCCAACTTCATGCAGCTCCAAGAGGTTGCATCAGCCAAAGACCTCAAGATATCAGTCCTGTTTGCTCGTTTCAAGCAACCAATTTGTCAATTTCTTGTCGAAGCTTTGCATCAATCTCAGGATAACACCACTAGCTCTGGTTGTCTGCATGTAATTAGTGAGGTAGCTCATGTCTTTGAGTTCAAAGACAAACAAGCATTTCTGTCGGTAAGAAATATGTAGCGTGCTGTCTGGATATTAATCTTCAGCTCACTCACTTCAGAAGTAATAATGGTTTCTGTTGTCAAAATGACATTAGATTTGATAAAGAAATCAGGTTTTTTTATAGGTTTTCTAAAGACCCTCTACAGACTTTGGTTAAGCGATGCTAACTTTCTCTGATTAACAATATTAACATGTACAAGTACTTTGGAATTTAAAAGCTTTTTGAATGTTGCTAAATATTTTTTGTCTCAATAGAGTCTTATGGTTATGTATTGAATACACCCCATATTTGTCACACGTCTCTGTGTTTCATTTAGCTAATTTTTGTTTTCAGCAAATGATGAGATTTCTGCTTCCCAGAATAGTGAGTAAAGCTACACCAGTGGCCTCTGCCATCTTGAGGGTCATTGCTAAGACACTGAAAGTGGTAAGATTGTCCTGTCCTTGTTAGAATGCCTTGGAGCTGGGCCTTCGTTTAATGTTGTTTTTGGTTTTGAACAGAGTCTCATGAATTTATACAATCGACGTCTCGGTTTTTTTTTGTCTTGGTTCACCAGCTTGAACTTGGCAGACGCTTTGTCTAATTGATGTCCTTATTGTTGACTGTTTGAAATATCAACTCATTCTAATTTCAAGGACTCCAACCTGAACCTTTTCTTTACTCAAAAGTATTTTTGTTATTTGCTGTAGTGTTGTTGTTGGTTATGTATTTCCTTATTCTATTCCGCAGACAAATGTCTTATATTTACAAGTTGAAATGGCAAAGTGTAATTATGGTTAGAATTTTTTTTCATTTTTCTAGAACCACAGAGAGATGTTAGTCGACTGTTTCCGCTACATCTTCTCATATCTCGTAAGAACCTGCAACAAGCCTGACTTAGAGAAAGCTCTACTCTACCTACAGGTAAATATGATTGAAGTAGAGAAAGCTCTACTCTACCTACAGGGAAATGTGACTGAGGTAGAGAAAGCTCTACTCTACCTACAGGGAAATGTGACTGAGGTAGAGAAAGCTCTACCTACAGGGAAATGTGACTGAGGTAGAGAAAGCTCTACTCTACCTACAGGGAAATGTGATTGAAGTAGAGAAAGCTCTACTCTACCTAGCTCAATTAATGACTTAGCAATGCCAAGATATTTCTAATATTAATTCTTCATTTTACATCTATAGAATGAGACAGATATAGAACTTGGTAGTTTAATGCGGATGGATTATCAAAGTCTACATAACGAGCTTTTGCTTCATCTCAGTGAGAACTATACACAGGTAATTGATTACAGTTCCGGTCTGACAAAGACTTATTTGTACATTATATATCGTTCTTTATTCAAATCTAGACAAAATAATTGAAGAGGAGTTGTGGAATAGTGATTAGTTTTAACCAAACTTTCAATCAGAAAACTAACTTAACAGAGATGTAAAGTCAGTCTTTGTTACCATATGTTAGGTTTTCCTCTGCTACCAAAAACTTCCAGCGGTTTTTGTGCCTGGAGACATCTCAAGTGGTGGAGGAATTTGCACTATTTTTGATAATTAATTCATTTGAGATTGGGAAGTTTGTATACAATTAGTTCTTTGATGCTTTTCCTCTGTTGTCAAATTTCAACTTCCACCATTCACCAGTTGAAAAGAGAAATCTTTCCATATGTGCCAGTTCAACACAAAACTTACTTGCATGTATATCTCTGTCAGGTATTCAGTGGGCTAGCGATGCTGGCATCTAAGGATTCCAACTATAGAGGGCCTAAACCAATCACGGAGGCATCAGACATGGCTGACTTCCTACAGCCAAGACTTCTGGGCATTCTAGCCTTCTTTGACTCCCAGCTGCTGAATTCACACATTGCAGTAGAAGACAAGAAACTGGTAAGATGACTTTGAAACAGATGACTCAACTCCTGAAGGGTGCTACAATGTGGATGTGCATCGCCCAAAATGTATTTTTAAACTTTGCATTCTTTTGTCGGCAACATTTTTTCCTAATGGTATGGTGGCAGTTATCAAATTGAGCAGTCTTCAACTTTCCAAATATTTATAAATTGAATTTCTAAAAAAACAATCACCTTCCCAAAAATCTAAGTTGCCAAAATTCTTTTCCCCAAAATGTGTTGAGCAGGTTTTCCACTATGATGAATTGTTGATCTCTTTCCAAAGTCACCTTCTTGTCCTAATTAATAGGCGCTAGAAAGTCTAGTTTGCATCATGAAGCTGATGGGTACCAAGCACATCACTGGTGTCCGTCTCAAGATCATGGCAACACTGAAAATTGGCCTCCGCTACAAGGATAATGGGTTTCCTTTGCTGTCTTGCAGGGCTTGGCAGTGTTTTGTACACAGGTAATCATGAGCAAATCTGTAAAATCATGCCATTCCTGGTTGAAAATGTCACATTGTCAGCACTTTAAGAAAGAAGTTTTTCTGTGGCCAACTGCATTCTCAGTTCCCTCTGGGTGTGACTCTCTAAGTTTTGGTTCAAATTTTAAATCAGGTTTTGAGGTTGATTGAATTTGACCTGCTCCTAGTTCATATTTGATATATATTTTGATATATGTTCATACCTTTGATTTCAGCTTTGATTGCCATCAGAAATTCAGTTTTGATACAAATGTGGAATTTATTTTTTCTTAGTTGTAAAAGATGTTTTATTTGTGACTTTAGATTCAGATTTTTGCTACATTGTCAAAATGTATATCGTAAACATCTGCATTCTGTCCTGATCTGCATTTAAGCGTTGACATTATTCACAGCCTTGATTCCTTCTTTGTTCCTTCAGTGTTGAGCCGTCATCTCTCGGTCCTATGATCAGCCAAGTTATTGTCACTCTATTGCCTTTACTCCATCAACTACCAGAACAGGTGGCCAAGATCTACAATTTCCTCATTGTTGAAAACAGGTGATGATCTTGTTAATTGAGGAGAAATCTTGAACCCTTTTAACTCTGTTGACCTTTAGCAAGTAAAACGACTTTTGCTTGCGTCTTCCATTTTGAGCCTTTAATTTTCTGCTCACAATCAAGCTTCAGATGCATGCCCTGATGCCGAACGTCAGTCGTTCTTGTAATGGCTAACAAACGAAGCCTGCCCGCTAATGCTTGGGACTGGACACATGCAGTGCCAAGTTCAGAAGGATCTATTTGTATTTGTGACCTCACAAATTGAGTCACAAAGTTGTCAGAGCAACTTTGAAATGAAAAGCCTTTAAGAGTATCTTGGGCCATGTCAATCAATGGGTACCCTCAACATTCTTCACCAACATATCATCCGTTTCAGTAGGATGCCAGACTGGTTGATACATCAAACCAAAGAACACCATTTGCTCTTTCTCGTGTAAACCTAAACAAAAAATACCTCACATGTGGCTTTAAGACTCATCATGTGGGCTCTGGTCGTATTTTATAACTGTAACTGTCTTCAGGAAAGTTCATTTTCCTTTCATTTCTCCTAAAAAGAGATAATGTAATAACCGAAGTCAAGATGTCAACTGATACGAAGAAAGATTTCAAATATGCAATTATAATAAAGATTTTTATCGAATCCTCATCAAATGTGATTGATTATTCGTTTGAATGTACAGAGATGCTTTCAGTCAGCATTTTCATGAGTTGTACTTCATGCCTGATTTGGCTGAGCTCACTGAAGTTAACTCAGTCCTGAAGGAGCATCGTGAGGATCCGTCCAGCCAGCCAGATCTCAAGACACAGCTGAGGCAATCCATCAAAGGAGTCACTCATGAGAGCTTGGATGTCAGACTTCATGCTCTGTCAAAACTCAGAGATTTGCTACGCAAAAACCAAGTCAGAATTAAAGTAGATTTTTTATAAATTAACAATCATAGATTTTGGAAACATTGTAACCCTAAGAAAAATTGGTGTTGCTTCATGGTAGAGTAGTGTTTGTAGATTGGTTTTACTTCACAAATGGAAATTATGTCAAAGTGTGATTATGTTCTTTATATTTTACTTTTAATTTTTTTCACAGTCTGATCTTCATGAATATGTGATGGGAAATGAAACCATAGATCCTACAATAACAGAACTCGTTTCTGTGGTAAGTGCTTGCGTTCTTCTACAAATTGGGGTTTTGCTCTGCTAAAGGAAACTTTGACAGTACTCAAGTGACTTATATCGTAATACTCAGAAATGAAAATGCTTAGGCTGAGATAGATTTTTAAATGTTTCCTGCAAGAGATTCATGTGTGTAGTGGTGTCACAGATCACTCTGACAAGCGAAGAAATACTGGTTGGTAAAATTGCTACAGAAAGACCAATGAACATTTCTGGTATGAGATCGCAATGTTGTGAAATCTTTTCAATGCTCTACGTAACCTCACAAATGGTAATAACTCTTTGTCTGTGATATAGTTTCAGAATATTCATCTATTTTTCATTTAATGATTTTTATATAAGATGAGCTCGATCTTCTGTTGGAATTGTTTTCTTGATCCTATAAAGTTATTTTAAAAGCATGTTGTGATAAGTATTTCCTTTCAACTTATAGGCAAGTATTGATCTACACTGTGTTGATCTACACTGGAACAGTGGAATAGCAAGAGTCTTATATTTGAAAACTAATCGTTTGCATCCAGATTAACAATCTCTAAATTTTGTTACCTATCAGGGTAGTGTTAATGAGGCCAACTTTTGCCTTTGGTTTTTCAGTTTAATGATTTTTGTTTCAGAGTATAAGATGAGATCTATATTCTCTTGAAATTATTTCTTTGATTATTCTGTAGTTACTGAGTGGCTGCCGTGACTCAGACGGCAAAGCACAGAGTTTGTTTGGGGAGTGTCTTGGTGAGCTAGGAGCTGTTGACCCTGGGAGACTAGAGATCATCACCAACAATAAGACAGAAGACATGTCCAAATTCCACGTAAGTATGGCCTCTTAAATGAGGCAAGATCAAGTCCCACAGACAACATTGGAATGTTAAGATGTTGAAAAGGGATATCTGATGATGGTTTGTAGAGGTGCAGTGTCTCTCTGGTCAACACAACAGCAAGTGGAACCATTGCTCATTCCATGGCGACCTTTAATAAGCACAGTATAACTAGCCAACACAGAAATGGCTTTGAAATATTCACACAGTAAGAGATCTAGAAACCCTGTTCAGAGACCAAGGTTTGTAAGATTTGGCATTTAAACACAGTTAAGGTTGATGTAAAGCATAAAGTATTTCTTTTCAACTCATAGGAAGGTGTTGATCTAAACACTGAAATAGCAAGAGTCATATTTGAAAACTTATATTTTGCATCTAGATGAACAATCTGTAAATGTTGTCACCTCTCAGGGTAGTGTTAATGATGCCAACAGTGAGCTAGCGAGAGCTG